ACAGTCGGAGCACGACACGAGTTCTTCTGAACCGCCTGTTTTCTTGTTCTCCCGTGCGTCACCAAGACAAAAGTCGCAGTAAGGACTAGGCGAATTAAGTACAAGTTAAAAAAGAACTTAAAATTACTCATCCAAGTTACACAAACTCGTAAGTACACGTTACGTTATATGCAAAAATAAAATCTGCTTTTAACTCATCAAAATCTAAACCACAAACCTAAAATTTTAATATTAAATCAAAAAGAAAAGCACACTCTTGTAGACGAAAGAGCGAGTTATTTATGAAAATGTTCGATACACAAGTGACAAGACCAAGAGCCTTCTGGAGGTGTAGTCAGGGGTGGACTTAAGCAATACATGTGATAACCACGATCACAGTCGTCACAAAATAAGAGTTGATCCTAAAAATTGTCCACCGTTATTAATGAACTAATCTTAATACCTTAACTTATACTAATAGTGTGAAAATGATTTTTTAAACTCGAAATCTACGAAATTAAATTTTCGTTATCTATTATGTTATGTAAATTTATAAAATGCAGCATTTTACTCATTAGTTATCGATCGTATCTTTCATCTAGTTTAAAAAACCAAATTATACAATATTAGTTTAAATACTAATTGATATCTTACATCGTTGTCAGAAGTCCCACAAACTGAACAACATTTACATTCGATACATTGCCAGCGATATTTTTTCACGGATATGATCATGTTGGGTGTAAACTGGAGGCACGATGGATGCCCTGAAAATTGATAATCTTCTAAAAACGAGGAGCAAAAGACTTTTATTGCCCATAAAAAAGGTTAACATTCGCTTCCTATTGTGGATTCAATTTTCACTATTATTTTAAAATTACATGTGCATCGTTTGCTTTTATATTTTTCCTTTTGGTTGAACTATTTTGTATTTTCTTGATGTTGATACGAATGTAATGCATTGTGCCGAAGAACAGTGACTTTCCAAGTTATGTAAATTTTCTTGAAAATTATTTAGAAAGTGTGAAATTGTTAGTTAAAAAAATTCACATAAAATGAAGTGCCACTATACCTCAGCACTCGAAATAAAACTAGATTGACAATATTTAATTATTTATTGCACTGTTAAAAATTACATTTTGATTAACCTTGGAAAATGACTGTTCTTACAACTTAGCAATTACTAAAGGGGAAGTTCTGAATGGTTTTTACCGTCCTTTTCCAAAGAATACGCCACTTACTATTTTCTATAAATAGCATAAAACTAAAAGGATAAGTAAAAAACATTCAAAATCTTACTTGTTCGGAAAAGCTATAATTACAAAATAATGTACCCACAAACATTACTTTAAAAACAATTAAATAAATATTTCATTTGGTTGAATAAGTCAGACTTTAAAAGAAAACAAAAAAGAATTTTCACCATTTTGGAAGACACGGGAAATTGATTTATTAGCTTAGAGGCAGTAAGTAAATTCACCTGCACGAAAACCTAATTACGAAACAATAAAAAAAAATATCCTTCGAGTTCAAAATAATAATTCAGAAACGTATTTACAATATCTATAAGATCTAAATTTTCAAAAACAAAATCACTTCTAATGAGCAGATGATAAATTAATAACGAAGCAAATAATTTTAACAGAAAAACAATTAAAAAATCGAAAAGCTCAACAAAACATAAACAAATTAAAGCATTTCCAGTCTACTTAAATTATACGATTACACTATGTATGTATTTAACTATATACAAAATGACATTCTTGTAATTAAATTTGAAACTCGTTAGAATGTGGACTAATTGTTATTAGTTTCAGTCTTTCACTAACAAACGTTTCTGACTTTAACAATAAAATTATTGTTGTATATATGAACGACGCGCCAATTTTACTAGACACACTTTTTGGAATCAACCATTGTTCAGTCTTCTAATTTATTTGTAATCGATTCGTTAATGATTAATATCATATGAGCGCACTGCTTTATTTGAATTAACTTTTCATTTTTTTTTTGTATTAAATAAATTAACGATTTTGAGATTCATCAAGTTTTATAGTAATTAAATTTTACTTCAACAAAGTTCTTAAAATAACATTGTAACGATTGTTAACGTTTATAGACACCGTTTTATAAAAAGACTTATTGCAGGAACGGATCTTTTTACTAATTATAAGAACAAACCGGGAAAATATTTTTCCAATGGGTTGACATTGACCTATATAAATTAAATAACACATAAGTTATAAAGCGTTTTTAAATGATGCTTCCATTTTTATTATGATTAAAAAGATGTTTTCATTTTGTGGATTCATCTCGATAGGATATTAAGAGAAATTCTATTGTACGCATTGCAATAAAACGGAAATAGTTATTATAATAACCTAACCAAGTAGAAAACCCTTATTTGTACTAACGACATTACATGTGGACATTTCGATTGAAAATAATCTAGAAAACCATTTACTAAAAATTATCCATCAGATACGCACTTTAGAGTATCTAAAGCATACTAAAGTAATGTACATTACCCTATTAAATTTTTANATTCCCTCCGTTATTTCACTTAATAAACATTAAATACCTATAAAAAATAGTGTGCAATATTTAGACAATGCACCTAAAGAATACGTTTTCTAAACAGTACATGCAATATGTTTGCTCACAAGTATTTTCAAGAGAATAATAAAATAAGAATACTGCAAGACCATGTCAAATGTTCATTAATTTAAAAAAACAAATAAAAACTAAGACTTTCACTTGTTTTTTTTTTTTCATTTACATCTCTGCTGTTTCCATAAAATTGATAAAAATTAAAATAATGTAACGTTCACTTTTTAACATGCACAAATAATTTAAATGCATTGCAAAGCAAAAAAGGAAATATTGCATTCTCCGGTAATCGAACCCGAGCCGTCCTCATTGTGCGATGAGCAATAATATTACTCAAAATATTTTTGATTTCTTAATATACAGGCACATGTACCTTTCATTTGATACCATCACGACCACATGTACATACTCACAAACTGCTGGTTCGCAAGAGCTCGAACTTTTTCGCGCAAAAACTTTACAAAAATACATGAATTCCTACAGAGCTCCTTCAGTCACGCACGCGTGAGCCGTACTACCGATCATCCCGCGTTCTTTTTAAATAAACATAGAATGCTAAAACTTTTAATTTAATATATGGGATGTATGCGATCTACGCAAACACTGCTTACAAATTTCTATTACGTATGATACAATAGATTACACCGCATTGTAATAATATACTAACATTTACATCAGGAAATCTCATACAAACGATTGTGGGACATAATGTACTTATGTACGCAAAGGTTACTTGTTTGACTAGCATTAAAATCTCCGTTAATATTAGCGCTCTATAGTAAAGCGATTAATAAAATGAATTTAAATTTCTTTACCAAAAAAAAAAGCTACAAAAGGGAAGTTTGCATAATGTTCTCTAAACCATCCGTCCTTTCTTATTCTACTCAAGCAACAATAGTAACAACTGTATAACAACCTGCCCACCGCTTCTTTGGCGACCTGACGTAACTAGTTTACCTGTCCTTCAGTGCCTCATTCTTAAATTTACTTTGCCTTATACGTCGCGCGGCCTACATCAAGAATTTTTTCCTAATGGCTATACTTCGATACGACATAATAATAACAATTTGTATGTGTTAGCTGTATGTGTCAGTCGTGTGAGTTATGCTTCGGTCATTCCGATGACCATAGCCAGTATTTCAACAAGTGAGAGTGTTATTTTAATGGGCGGTGTACAACTTTCTTGTGGAAATCAGATGGAAAGTTATGGTACAGGTGCACCGTTAAAGAACAATATTTTCATTTTGTAAGTGCATTCGTTGTAGTTGCTTTGGACAAAATAATAATTAATATATAGTATGCTTGGTCCTTATGTTAATATACACCTGTTGTATAATTGCTAACAGGCGTACAATTTAACAATTTGTTATGGTTTTCTAGGTATTCGTATTTATTTACGTACCACATATTTATAAAATTTTCGTCATATTTTTTTATAGCAAACTTTTTAAAAACAAAACAGTTTCACGATAACGTTATAAAAATTATGATTTTATCATATTTGTAATATGCGCATTTTAAAGGTAGATATACCATCTAAAGTAGTGTACGTTATTAACTGTTATTTAATTAATTATTTTACTTTGTTTACTTTGCTTTTTACTCATCAAGCAACGGTAAATAAAATAACAATTCATAATGAAGTACTTAACTGTTTCATGAGTGGTAAAATTTTTATCAGTTTTATTGCAAAAGATCATTAACGCGTTAAAAATTACTATTTATCTTGCAACAAAAATCCCAATATAACATGTACAAGGTATTTAAACAATTTTTTAAACCTAACAGTGTTTTTTCTTAAATTGATGATTAATTAATATATTTTTTTTCTTTAATTTTGTAAATCATTTTGCTGGGTCCATTATTTCAAACACCAACACAATATTTAACGTGCATAATTCTTTAAACAAGTTCCTATTTAGACTCCATTAAAATTATAATGGAAGCAAGACATTGGATGACCTTAATTTACCAAATACAACACAATAATAACATTTAACTTTACTGTGAAAATGGGTATTGTAATTTTATAGCGCAAAACTAGCACTGAATCAAATATGTTAACTATTAACTTTTGAAATAAGAATAATAAGTGTAATTATACATTTTTTTAGAGTTACATCGCTATAATTATAAAAGTAAAAATGGGTATAGCTAAGAGAGTTTCAAAAAATCACTACGTGGCTCCTAGATTGACGGATTCCCCGACACCCGTTCACGTATCAAGAAAAATGGTGTATTCAGACGAAGAAGAAAGTCATTTAAGCGCACATAGGGCTCCATCAGAGAGAACGATGTCGGAATATACTTCTACGGTAAATAATTGCCAATAGAAATTCTGCAAGGGAAATATGAAGTACCTATCCTATTTTTATTTGATTGAAATTTTTTATTATAAAATATTGCAGCCACTAGCGACTGCTAATGGAAGCCATCACCCTCCAAGGGCCCATTCTGCCTTAAGCAAAGGGAGTGGTTATGGTGATGGTGGATCAGATATTTATGTTACCAGTGGTGCTTACAAATCACCATCAGAATTTAGGTAAAACTACAAAATAATGAGAAATTAAGTAATAAACTTATTTCATAACAACTGAGACGACAAACAGAGACACAGTTAATTTGAATATTTTCTTTTTAAAATCAAAACAACACGAAATTCTAGTTTACATTTCAGTAAAATTTCTGATTTTTAGAAGTCGCAAAATAATTCAATAACCGACAGGAAATTGCAAAACATTCTATTCTAAAGTCGGCACAAAGATTCTGTTTTGAAAATTATCCCACGATATTCTTACATCATCATCTTACAATGGAAATGTGTAGAAGAAACTACATATGCATTCAAATTTTACCTATTAACCTTTTCAAACATTTATGTACTTGTTAGGTGTAAATTAAAAACACAAAATGAATAAGCAGCATTTCTTTATAATTATGTAATAATTTTTATCACGAACCTACTTTTTTATTTAATTTGTTTTGTCTTAACATTATACGTATAATCTTTAAAAGATTAGGGTAGATAAACTTATATAAGGCTGATAAAAGGCACGAAAAGAAGTTTTCTTAATGAAATTTTTGATTGCAATATATCTAAGTATGAACAAAATTAGTATATCGCCATCTACTGATCCTTACTACAACTACAGAATCTCAAATATTTTACAAGGGCCTTTAGAAGATATCTACATACTTGGAATCTACGATATAGCTTGTAATATACATGATACGAGTGCTGGTTTCAATAAATTGTTGATTAAGAATTTAATGTTCTTTATTACACTATTTCTAGAAATAATAAATCTCTAAATCAAATTATTATATTACAGTCGAACATCAAGGTCTCATAGAGCCCCAAGTCATTACTCATATAGAAGTGATAAGGCACCGTCAGTCACAAGCACTGTAAAGACACGCAACTCTAGAAAAGCCGGGGTTACAGTAGAAGCAATGGCTGCACCAAACCCATTTTGTCCTAATATAAAGGGGATGTGCTGTTTAATGCTGCTACTTAATTTAGGAATTATCCTTGTAACGTTGGGATTTGTGATAGTCATTCAATTTATAGAACCATTGTTTGTATGGTGAGTTTAAGATTCGATAGTTTAATGATCACGTTCTATATTTTTTTTTTTTTCTTTCAGGATTCTGGGTATAGTGTTTTTAATATTCGGCTTTCTGACGCTAATAGGTAGTTTAATATACTGTGTGATGGTATTCAGAGATGCTAAATCACCTAAAGATGTAAATCCAGATGATCTTTACTGGACGCATCACTGGCAAAAAACAATTAATTTGCCGGAAATTCATTACAAAACGGAGGAAAAATTCGACGATTATAATAGTGATCGATATTCTCTAGGTAAAATGTCCGGTAAATATTCAGATAGGAATGCAAGGTATTAAATACGCATTGTTATTGTATTCATAAATAAACAGTTAACAATTCTAAATGTAGACTTCAAGACTACATAAGTAGATTTTCAAAATATATTCAAAATGAAAGCATTTCAATTCTAAAAAGAATGAATTTGTGTACATATGTAAAATAATACTGTAACATTAAGAGATATCTTTGTTTGTTTATTGCAGGCTATTATTAACGATTATTATTTTCTTAAAACATAAAAACCCCTTTCGCTTTTGCAACATATTGTATATTAATTTTGCATTTATAAGGTAATTATAGTTACTAAAAACATTATACTGTTAATTAGTTTTTAAGTTAACTTATTTTTTGTTTACGTAAAAAAACGCCAAAACTGTTATGAATTTAATTTTCATATAAGTTTTGAGAGTATGTTAACAAAGTAATTATTTTTATATTCAATGGAACTATTTTTTGCGATACTTTATGAATAAATGGTTAAATTGCGCAACAAATGTTTTTTTTTTTTAAATCAAACATTTCCTAAATAGAAAGCAAACAGAAGACGAACATTGTGGAACTTCTCCAAATGTTCTTTTACTTTTTAGTCAATATGCTTTACTAAGAGTAATGTGCGAATTACTATCTTAATTAAAAATTTCCATTATTTACGTCATTTAGTTTTTGTTAAACGAATTGGGATTTGGAAAAAATTAGATATTCATGTATTTTTGTGGTCTAATTACTACAGTGTATTAATATAAAAATGTAATGTATCTATATGTACAAATATGACACATTATGCTTATGCAATATCACCTTTTGTCGGCCGTTCTGCGTGAGTGAAAATGATTTCTTTGCGTCTTTAGTCGAGCGCATTGTAGTATCCATAATATTGGAACTGGACCGCACGAGGAGCTCTGTGTACCGCACCGATATGTCAACACCCCTTTTTGCCAATATAAACCCGCGAATATAGACGGGTCAGTGAACTGCATGTTACTCAGCTAATTGATGTATTTGTGTTTACATTTCTCACAACAAACTCATATTATCGACTGATTTTATTTTATTCTAATTATTATTAAAACTAACTACATCATTACCACTTTAGTACTTACTGTTAAAGTAATAATATAAAAAAGAACGTCACCGCTGCCATCCATCTCATTTTATGGGTAAAGTGTATTCTAATTATCAAAAAGTTATTATATTATAATAAAGAAGTAAGTAAATAGAAAACACGGCTGAGGTAGCTTATCAACAAAATTTTTTGCAAAATGGACTAAAACGAATTAAGTACAAGTTAAAAAAGAACTTAAAATTACTCATCCAAGTTACACAAACTCGTAAGTACACGTTACGTTATATGCAAAAATAAAATCTGCTTTTAACTCATCAAAATCTAAACCACAAACCTAAAATTTTAATATTAAATCAAAAAGAAAAGCACACTCTTGTAGACGAAAGAGCGAGTTATTTATGAAAATGTTCGATACACAAGTGACAAGACCAAGAGCCTTCTGGAGGTGTAGTCAGGGGTGGACTTAAGCAATACATGTGATAACCACGATCACAGTCGTCACAAAATAAGAGTTGATCCTAAAAATTGTCCACCGTTATTAATGAACTAATCTTAATACCTTAACTTATACTAATAGTGTGAAAATGATTTTTTAAACTCGAAATCTACGAAATTAAATTTTCGTTATCTATTATGTTATGTAAATTTATAAAATGCAGCATTTTACTCATTAGTTATCGATCGTATCTTTCATCTAGTTTAAAAAACCAAATTATACAATATTAGTTTAAATACTAATTGATATCTTACATCGTTGTCAGAAGTCCCACAAACTGAACAACATTTACATTCGATACATTGCCAGCGATATTTTTTCACGGATATGATCATGTTGGGTGTAAACTGGAGGCACGATGGATGCCCTGAAAATTGATAATCTTCTAAAAACGAGGAGCAAAAGACTTTTATTGCCCATAAAAAAGGTTAACATTCGCTTCCTATTGTGGATTCAATTTTCACTATTATTTTAAAATTACATGTGCATCGTTTGCTTTTATATTTTTCCTTTTGGTTGAACTATTTTGTATTTTCTTGATGTTGATACGAATGTAATGCATTGTGCCGAAGAACAGTGACTTTCCAAGTTATGTAAATTTTCTTGAAAATTATTTAGAAAGTGTGAAATTGTTAGTTAAAAAAATTCACATAAAATGAAGTGCCACTATACCTCAGCACTCGAAATAAAACTAGATTGACAATATTTAATTATTTATTGCACTGTTAAAAATTACATTTTGATTAACCTTGGAAAATGACTGTTCTTACAACTTAGCAATTACTAAAGGGGAAGTTCTGAATGGTTTTTACCGTCCTTTTCCAAAGAATACGCCACTTACTATTTTCTATAAATAGCATAAAACTAAAAGGATAAGTAAAAAACATTCAAAATCTTACTTGTTCGGAAAAGCTATAATTACAAAATAATGTACCCACAAACATTACTTTAAAAACAATTAAATAAATATTTCATTTGGTTGAATAAGTCAGACTTTAAAAGAAAACAAAAAAGAATTTTCACCATTTTGGAAGACACGGGAAATTGATTTATTAGCTTAGAGGCAGTAAGTAAATTCACCTGCACGAAAACCTAATTACGAAACAATAAAAAAAAATATCCTTCGAGTTCAAAATAATAATTCAGAAACGTATTTACAATATCTATAAGATCTAAATTTTCAAAAACAAAATCACTTCTAATGAGCAGATGATAAATTAATAACGAAGCAAATAATTTTAACAGAAAAACAATTAAAAAATCGAAAAGCTCAACAAAACATAAACAAATTAAAGCATTTCCAGTCTACTTAAATTATACGATTACACTATGTATGTATTTAACTATATACAAAATGACATTCTTGTAATTAAATTTGAAACTCGTTAGAATGTGGACTAATTGTTATTAGTTTCAGTCTTTCACTAACAAACGTTTCTGACTTTAACAATAAAATTATTGTTGTATATATGAACGACGCGCCAATTTTACTAGACACACTTTTTGGAATCAACCATTGTTCAGTCTTCTAATTTATTTGTAATCGATTCGTTAATGATTAATATCATATGAGCGCACTGCTTTATTTGAATTAACTTTTCATTTTTTTTTTGTATTAAATAAATTAACGATTTTGAGATTCATCAAGTTTTATAGTAATTAAATTTTACTTCAACAAAGTTCTTAAAATAACATTGTAACGATTGTTAACGTTTATAGACACCGTTTTATAAAAAGACTTATTGCAGGAACGGATCTTTTTACTAATTATAAGAACAAACCGGGAAAATATTTTTCCAATGGGTTGACATTGACCTATATAAATTAAATAACACATAAGTTATAAAGCGTTTTTAAATGATGCTTCCATTTTTATTATGATTAAAAAGATGTTTTCATTTTGTGGATTCATCTCGATAGGATATTAAGAGAAATTCTATTGTACGCATTGCAATAAAACGGAAATAGTTATTATAATAACCTAACCAAGTAGAAAACCCTTATTTGTACTAACGACATTACATGTGGACATTTCGATTGAAAATAATCTAGAAAACCATTTACTAAAAATTATCCATCAGATACGCACTTTAGAGTATCTAAAGCATACTAAAGTAATGTACATTACCCTATTAAATTTTTAAAAGAATTAAAAGTTTTGGTATTTCTCCCTTATTATGGTTTAAGCTACAAATTTTTATTTTCAATTCGGTCCCAGATACTTCGCAATGGAAAAACATAAACCTATTGCTTATATTATTAAAGTGCAAGCATTTAAATGTCCCTATTATTATTATTATTATTTTTTTAATTAGATTTGGCTCGATTATCTACGTTACAGCTCAACATCATTTTTTTTTACGACTTCTCTTATTATTAGAATTGAAAAGTTTCTCGTCATCGACCACTTTAATGTTCTTACCTGATCGGCCACAGTCGGAGCACGACACGAGTTCTTCTGAACCGCCTGTTTTCTTGTTCTCCCGTGCGTCACCAAGACAAAAGTCGCAGTAAGGACTAGGTGTGGCTTTATCTTTGGATGGCTCCACATTACTGGTAGGAAGTGCACCAGAGGACGGAGTAGCAGGCGCTGTCGCGGTGGACGGGACAGCAGATGATTGCAGTGGCGGATCAATAGTTTTTTCGGGTACAAGTACTGGCATAGGTGGATCGTCACCGGCTGAAGTCGGTTGTTGATTAGGTAAGTTTGGAGGTAAATTGGGAGGTGCTTGAGACTGAGGGGACGACTGTTGCGAAGGTAGATTTACACCAGGTCGACGACGTGCGGAATTACCTGTAGATCAAAGTAAATATTAGTGAACTGAATTATTTTAATGCATCCACAAGTAATATTATACGATATGCTTATGTTATTTAATTCATATATTCCAATTTATTAATTGTACTTTGTATGTTGCATTACATTACGTTAAAATTCTTATATTCAAACTAATAATCAAAACAACCAATATTAAATATTGTAATAAGAATTATACAAATATAGTCGAAGTAATCAATGCCTTCACTCATGCCAATCATAAACGTGGGTCAAGTTATTAATAGTTAAAATTGTAACTACCATAAAAAGACCAACTCCTCGACCTAAACATTATAAACTGAATCGGACAGAATAAGTTCGATTTGTTGTATTATAAGTAATAAAATGTTCTACAGATACTTTTGCTTGTCACTCCTCTACACATGCATGCACAAACCATCATACAGAAGAAAAAGTAAAAGAATAAGGCAGTACCGGCGGTTGGCTGGTTCAAGAAAGAAACATAGCTATCTTGATAAACGTGTCCTGGGTTGGCTCCTTGCGCGTCGTTGTTCGCGTTATCCCCCGCCACGTTACTAGCACCGCTCATTGCGGGGCTTCCGCCAGTCACCGCAGCCCCGCCTATGCCGGAGGCGGGTGGGATGTTATTGGCGGCCGCACCAGCCGCGACTGACGGAGTTGGGGCAGCATCATGAGAATTTTCGTCACTAGCGCCCTCTTTGTGCGAATGGCTGTAGTGGTACGTCAGTCCCGGTCTTGTCTTGTATCGCGCACCACAAACTGAAATATTCCAAAAATAGAGCCGAATTGCTTTTGTCTTTTTTAGTGATCACGAAGTCAACGCTTGGCAAGATGTGGGACTTGAACCGATTCTTCATTTCTTTTTTGATGCTTTTATTTTTTAATGAAGAAGGCCATACATAAACTAGTGATGTAAGTAAAATTATGATAAGTCATAATTAATGATGATTTTAATTCATGAATGATGCGCTCTTTTTTATTTATCGGTTAGTTGTGGTCTGAAAACGTCAGAAAACCAATGTGCCAGTATGTGAACCCGAACCGAACTTGTGCGAGAGTTACAAGGAGAGAAAGAAACCCTGAAAAGTTGAAGAGATAATATTATTATGGACAAGAAAGGTTAGTTTCGGTTCGAGTCCCTGCCTAAACAATAATAATAAGCCTTCCTAAGCATCAAGCGTTAGCACCATACCATGATCACTAGAAATTTTATAGAAATGAACAGGGTTAACTTATAAATTACATGCTCAAGCTATTAATTCTAATATTATAAGAAAATAGTAGCAGTACACTCGGATTTTAGTAAATTAGTTTTGTTGCAATGTAAATTAATTAAATCTTATTAAATTATTATAAGTTCTTCTGGCTATCCTTATGTTTTCTTCATTAACAGTTAATACGTTGAAATGAACTAGTAAATGAAAAGAGTACTGATAAATTATGTAATGTGGTGTACATTTGTTAGGCTTCTTATTTAAAAATTTCAGCATTATTCCAATATCTTTAAGTAAAACAGAAAATTTTTATCTTACATATTTTGTAATAAACCAAAATTGGACACCGTAATTTTATACTATCTCTAATGAACTGCATAAGCCATTCAGAAGCTCTGCCTTTCTATAAGCCATAACAGACTTTTTTAAACTCAAGAAAAAGTTTGTTCCGATTGTAAAAAGAAAAGTAGAAAACTGAGAATTACAAAAACCCAAAATTGCCATTTTTGAAGATATTTGATACTAATAAAACTAAAAGTTTTGTTCAATTGTCTAAAATTTTCGTTTTTATTAAATATACTGAAAGAGAGTTAGTCAAACTAAAAATACGCTTCTTAATACTCACGTTCGCAAGAGAAAGGTTTGTCTGGATCTCCAACTGGTTCAAAATTATGTGTCCCTTTTTTTCTTCCACGACCACTTCCTTTTCTCCTTCCTGGTGTATTTGGAGAATCTGTACCACCACGACCCTATAAAACACAATACAAAACACAGTATTAAATTTTATTAGTAACTTAAATGACTTAGGCACTATCGGCCTTTATGAAGTCAAGTCGGGCGGTGTCCGGGGTCACGAGGTTAGGCCTATTTATGATGTTTTCGTTTAATCAGTCTTTAATTAAAAATAGCTTATTTGACGTATATGAGCTGCAGCCAAACAATTGCAAACAAGTGAGCGGGTCTAAATATCAATGTTCGGGTGTATGGTTGGTTATATATAGATACGCTATATTGACTTGCCACTACCTTTAAATTTTTAATGTTTAACGTTTAAGGTATTATAAAATTATTGAAAATGTTGCCAAAATGAAAAAGTATGTGCTGCATACCCATACTAAAGATAGCAGAACCCAATGATTAAATTTGTATGGGTATAGATAGTTTAATAAATTAATTAATACTTTTTTCAAATCTTAACAACAACTTTACAAGGGGCGCTATCTAAAAATTGTCTAGAGGTGCCATACATGCTAAGACTGGAGCTGGATTTGGGACCATCAAAAACAACATTAAACAAAAAATGGTAAAGTAATTACCCTTCCAACACCTTTTCTTCTCTTGCTTCTTTTGCTATAAGTTTCTTCGTAATCCAGATCAGAATCAGGATCTGGTTCATCATATGCATCCATTTCTAGCATGTCTTGTTCATCATAATACCAGTCCTGTAATTATAGAAATTAAATTATTTGATATTTATTGCTAGTAGAGTATAAAAAAGCTGTACTACACAGATACAGATATTAAATAGAACCATTTCAAACATAAAAATTAAATCTCCCTTGGTCTTCAGCTGCAAGGTGCACAAAAGCACCCATACAACGTCCAGTAAAACGATTAAACAAAGTCAAAAATAATTATTAAATAGTTGGGGCATAGTATGTTTTAGCTTTAGGGAAAATACGACATATTGCAGCTTGCATAGCAACAGCCAAATAATATTCTGACCTACTTCAATATAACTAAAAAAATACATTTTGTGTTTTCTTTTCTTATTGTAACTTTAATCTAACTGAACTTTAACCAAAGGTTATGGTAAGAAAGATAACACAGTCATGTCCTTTGAGACTAACTGTAGTTTTTTTATCAAAAATACATGAATACTATTATTCACGTAATAGGCTAATTGTTTTAATGTTTTTGCACTTTTTCATAAACTAAATGGTTATTTAAGTTGTTTTTTTTACTAGAATATATCTTAATTTATTTTAATTTTTATGGTGCTAAAATGTTCCACACTCTTGACATTGTTTTATAAAATACACACCTTTGAAACTTCATCTTTAAGTAACTGACTATCTTTACTATCAGTGTCTTGCAAAGAAGGATTTTCCATTTGTGAAATACTGTGTAAGTCACTTTCTTCTAATAATGCATCAGCTGTTCTAGCAAAACTTCTAGAGTTCATTAATAAATACTGACGTCGTTTTTTACGCCATCTTGGCCTGGGATAAGTGTATATTTGACCAGGATTTAATCCAGGCATCCTTTGTCTCTTTGGCAAGTATAAATTGGAATGATTCTGAGCTACTCCAGTTTGGTTATCCAAAAACGGTAGACGCAATCGCCGTTCAATACACAGCCTAGTGTTATAATTTGCTGAATTTTCAATCATTTCTTTATAAGCAGGATCATTGAGGAAACTAAAACATCATTATCGTTTATATTACCTCTTTTCTTCTTACTATTATTTATTTATGCCAGTACTGCTTACAAGAGATGTAAAATTAAATAATATATTCCTACCTTTCTATTTTTTCCAGATTACTTAAATTTAATGTTGGAAGTGAATCTGCCATTTTTACTTCTTCTTTTAACATTTTTCCCTCCTGCTTTAAAGAATAGCTGCAGTACTAAAAACTCCACACTACATCTTCGGTTTGCAAAATGAATAAATTATCACGATTATCACTTTTTATTTAACACATCACGCATATCACATTCAGCTTTTGTTATACTTTTTCATCATGATTCCATCAGTTTCTTTTAAAACGGCATTCCTTGAGACCCTCAAAACCATTTCCACCATAGATAAATTAATTTCATAGTATCGTTTTACAGATTAATTTCCATTACGCATGTGCGAAGCGAGTGGTTAAGGTATATCACACGTTAGATAAACCAAAATAAAATTGTCCAAAATTTTAAAGGCCCTTTAAAATCTATAAAAAAAGCTTTTTATTTTTTTAAACATTCTTAATTTATTCAAAATTAAGATCAAACTATTGCGAAAAGCTAAGCGCATCAATAAAAAATAGACTTTTAGTTTTATTAAAGTGTATACCACAGAAAATTGCTATGTGTATAGGTTTTAACCATAGATAATAGCTTTACCAAAGTTTTACCTTTTACCATTTTTTATGTTATCAAAATGANCTTTTACTTTTTAGTCAATATGCTTTACTAAGAGTAATGTGCGAATTACTATCTTAATTAAAAATTTCCATTATTTACGTCATTTAGTTTTTGTTAAACGAATTGGGATTTGGAAAAAATTAGATATTCATGTATTTTTGTGGTCTAATTACTACAGTGTATTAATATAAAAATGTAATGTATCTATATGTACAAATATGACACATTATGCTTATGCAATATCACCTTTTGTCGGCCGTTCTGCGTGAGTGAAAATGATTTCTTTGCGTCTTTAGTCGAGCGCATTGTAGTATCCATAATATTGGAACTGGACCGCACGAGGAGCTCTGTGTACCGCACCGATATGTCAACACCCCTTTTTGCCAATATAAACCCGCGAATATAGACGGGTCAGTGAACTGCATGTTACTCAGCTAATTGATGTATTTGTGTTTACATTTCTCACAACAAACTCATATTATCGACTGATTTTATTTTATTCTAATTATTATTAAAACTAACTACATCATTACCACTTTAGTACTTACTGTTAAAGTAATAATATAAAAAAGAACGTCACCGCTGCCATCCATCTCATTTTATGGGTAAAGTGTATTCTAATTATCAAAAAGTTATTATATTATAATAAAGAAGTAAGTAAATAGAAAACACGGCTGAGGTAGCTTATCAACAAAATTTTTTGCAAAATGGACTAAAACGAATTAAGTACAAGTTAAAAAAGAACTTAAAATTACTCATCCAAGTTACACAAACTCGTAAGTACACGTTACGTTATATGCAAAAATAAAATCTGCTTTTAACTCATCAAAATCTAAACCACAAACCTAAAATTTTAATATTAAATCAAAAAGAAAAGCACACTCTTGTAGACGAAAGAGCGAGTTATTTATGAAAATGTTCGATACACAAGTGACAAGACCAAGAGCCTTCTGGAGGTGTAGTCAGGGGTGGACTTAAGCAATACATGTGATAACCACGATCACAGTCGTCACAAAATAAGAGTTGATCCTAAAAATTGTCCACCGTTATTAATGAACTAATCTTAATACCTTAACTTATACTAATAGTGTGAAAATGATTTTTTAAACTCGAAATCTACGAAATTAAATTTTCGTTATCTATTATGTTATGTAAATTTATAAAATGCAGCATTTTACTCATTAGTTATCGATCGTATCTTTCATCTAGTTTAAAAAACCAAATTATACAATATTAGTTTAAATACTAATTGATATCTTACATCGTTGTCAGAAGTCCCACAAACTGAACAACATTTACATTCGATACATTGCCAGCGATATTTTTTCACGGATATGATCATGTTGGGTGTAAACTGGAGGCACGATGGATGCCCTGAAAATTGATAATCTTCTAAAAACGAGGAGCAAAAGACTTTTATTGCCCATAAAAAAGGTTAACATTCGCTTCCTATTGTGGATTCAATTTTCACTATTATTTTAAAATTACATGTGCATCGTTTGCTTTTATATTTTTCCTTTTGGTTGAACTATTTTGTATTTTCTTGATGTTGATACGAATGTAATGCATTGTGCCGAAGAACAGTGACTTTCCAAGTTATGTAAATTTTCTTGAAAATTATTTAGAAAGTGTGAAATTGTTAGTTAAAAAAATTCACATAAAATGAAGTGCCACTATACCTCAGCACTCGAAATAAAACTAGATTGACAATATTTAATTATTTATTGCACTGTTAAAAATTACATTTTGATTAACCTTGGAAAATGACTGTTCTTACAACTTAGCAATTACTAAAGGGGAAGTTCTGAATGGTTTTTACCGTCCTTTTCCAAAGAATACGCCACTTACTATTTTCTATAAATAGCATAAAACTAAAAGGATAAGTAAAAAACATTCAAAATCTTACTTGTTCGGAAAAGCTATAATTACAAAATAATGTACCCACAAACATTACTTTAAAAACAATTAAATAAATATTTCATTTGGTTGAATAAGTCAGACTTTAAAAGAAAACAAAAAAGAATTTTCACCATTTTGGAAGACACGGGAAATTGATTTATTAGCTTAGAGGCAGTAAGTAAATTCACCTGCACGAAAACCTAATTACGAAACAATAAAAAAAAATATCCTTCGAGTTCAAAATAATAATTCAGAAACGTATTTACAATATCTATAAGATCTAAATTTTCAAAAACAAAATCACTTCTAATGAGCAGATGATAAATTAATAACGAAGCAAATAATTTTAACAGAAAAACAATTAAAAAATCGAAAAGCTCAACAAAACATAAACAAATTAAAGCATTTCCAGTCTACTTAAATTATACGATTACACTATGTATGTATTTAACTATATACAAAATGACATTCTTGTAATTAAATTTGAAACTCGTTAGAATGTGGACTAATTGTTATTAGTTTCAGTCTTTCACTAACAAACGTTTCTGACTTTAACAATAAAATTATTGTTGTATATATGAACGACGCGCCAATTTTACTAGACACACTTTTTGGAATCAACCATTGTTCAGTCTTCTAATTTATTTGTAATCGATTCGTTAATGATTAATATCATATGAGCGCACTGCTTTATTTGAATTAACTTTTCATTTTTTTTTTGTATTAAATAAATTAACGATTTTGAGATTCATCAAGTTTTATAGTAATTAAATTTTACTTCAACAAAGTTCTTAAAATAACATTGTAACGATTGTTAACGTTTATAGACACCGTTTTATAAAAAGACTTATTGCAGGAACGGATCTTTTTACTAATTATAAGAACAAACCGGGAAAATATTTTTCCAATGGGTTGACATTGACCTATATAAATTAAATAACACATAAGTTATAAAGCGTTTTTAAATGATGCTTCCATTTTTATTATGATTAAAAAGATGTTTTCATTTTGTGGATTCATCTCGATAGGATATTAAGAGAAATTCTATTGTACGCATTGCAATAAAACGGAAATAGTTATTATAATAACCTAACCAAGTAGAAAACCCTTATTTGTACTAACGACATTACATGTGGACATTTCGATTGAAAATAATCTAGAAAACCATTTACTAAAAATTATCCATCAGATACGCACTTTAGAGTATCTAAAGCATACTAAAGTAATGTACATTACCCTATTAAATTTTTAAAAGAATTAAAAGTTTTGGTATTTCTCCCTTATTATGGTTTAAGCTACAAATTTTTATTTTCAATTCGGTCCCAGATACTTCGCAATGGAAAAACATAAACCTATTGCTTATATTATTAAAGTGCAAGCATTTAAATGTCCCTATTATTATTATTATTATTTTTTTAATTAGATTTGGCTCGATTATCTACGTTACAGCTCAACATCATTTTTTTTTACGACTTCTCTTATTATTAGAATTGAAAAGTTTCTCGTCATCGACCACTTTAATGTTCTTACCTGATCGGCCACAGTCGGAGCACGACACGAGTTCTTCTGAACCGCCTGTTTTCTTGTTCTCCCGTGCGTCACCAAGACAAAAGTCGCAGTAAGGACTAGGTGTGGCTTTATCTTTGGATGGCTCCACATTACTGGTAGGAAGTGCACCAGAGGACGGAGTAGCAGGCGCTGTCGCGGTGGACGGGACAGCAGATGATTGCAGTGGCGGATCAATAGTTTTTTCGGGTACAAGTACTGGCATAGGTGGATCGTCACCGGCTGAAGTCGGTTGTTGATTAGGTAAGTTTGGAGGTAAATTGGGAGGTGCTTGAGACTGAGGGGACGACTGTTGCGAAGGTAGATTTACACCAGGTCGACGACGTGCGGAATTACCTGTAGATCAAAGTAAATATTAGTGAACTGAATTATTTTAATGCATCCACAAGTAATATTATACGATATGCTTATGTTATTTAATTCATATATTCCAATTTATTAATTGTACTTTGTATGTTGCATTACATTACGTTAAAATTCTTATATTCAAACTAATAATCAAAACAACCAATATTAAATATTGTAATAAGAATTATACAAATATAGTCGAAGTAATCAATGCCTTCACTCATGCCAATCATAAACGTGGGTCAAGTTATTAATAGTTAAAATTGTAACTACCATAAAAAGACCAACTCCTCGACCTAAACATTATAAACTGAATCGGACAGAATAAGTTCGATTTGTTGTATTATAAGTAATAAAATGTTCTACAGATACTTTTGCTTGTCACTCCTCTACACATGCATGCACAAACCATCATACAGAAGAAAAAGTAAAAGAATAAGGCAGTACCGGCGGTTGGCTGGTTCAAGAAAGAAACATAGCTATCTTGATAAACGTGTCCTGGGTTGGCTCCTTGCGCGTCGTTGTTCGCGTTATCCCCCGCCACGTTACTAGCACCGCTCATTGCGGGGCTTCCGCCAGTCACCGCAGCCCCGCCTATGCCGGAGGCGGGTGGGATGTTATTGGCGGCCGCACCAGCCGCGACTGACGGAGTTGGGGCAGCATCATGAGAATTTTCGTCACTAGCGCCCTCTTTGTGCGAATGGCTGTAGTGGTACGTCAGTCCCGGTCTTGTCTTGTATCGCGCACCACAAACTGAAATATTCCAAAAATAGAGCCGAATTGCTTTTGTCTTTTTTAGTGATCACGAAGTCAACGCTTGGCAAGATGTGGGACTTGAACCGATTCTTCATTTCTTTTTTGATGCTTTTATTTTTTAATGAAGAAGGCCATACATAAACTAGTGATGTAAGTAAAATTATGATAAGTCATAATTAATGATGATTTTAATTCATGAATGATGCGCTCTTTTTTATTTATCGGTTAGTTGTGGTCTGAAAACGTCAGAAAACCAATGTGCCAGTATGTGAACCCGAACCGAACTTGTGCGAGAGTTACAAGGAGAGAAAGAAACCCTGAAAAGTTGAAGAGATAATATTATTATGGACAAGAAAGGTTAGTTTCGGTTCGAGTCCCTGCCTAAACAATAATAATAAGCCTTCCTAAGCATCAAGCGTTAGCACCATACCATGATCACTAGAAATTTTATAGAAATGAACAGGGTTAACTTATAAATTACATGCTCAAGCTATTAATTCTAATATTATAAGAAAATAGTAGCAGTACACTCGGATTTTAGTAAATTAGTTTTGTTGCAATGTAAATTAATTAAATCTTATTAAATTATTATAAGTTCTTCTGGCTATCCTTATGTTTTCTTCATTAACAGTTAATACGTTGAAATGAACTAGTAAATGAAAAGAGTACTGATAAATTATGTAATGTGGTGTACATTTGTTAGGCTTCTTATTTAAAAATTTCAGCATTATTCCAATATCTTTAAGTAAAACAGAAAATTTTTATCTTACATATTTTGTAATAAACCAAAATTGGACACCGTAATTTTATACTATCTCTAATGAACTGCATAAGCCATTCAGAAGCTCTGCCTTTCTATAAGCCATAACAGACTTTTTTAAACTCAAGAAAAAGTTTGTTCCGATTGTAAAAAGAAAAGTAGAAAACTGAGAATTACAAAAACCCAAAATTGCCATTTTTGAAGATATTTGATACTAATAAAACTAAAAGTTTTGTTCAATTGTCTAAAATTTTCGTTTTTATTAAATATACTGAAAGAGAGTTAGTCAAACTAAAAATACGCTTCTTAATACTCACGTTCGCAAGAGAAAGGTTTGTCTGGATCTCCAACTGGTTCAAAATTATGTGTCCCTTTTTTTCTTCCACGACCACTTCCTTTTCTCCTTCCTGGTGTATTTGGAGAATCTGTACCACCACGACCCTATAAAACACAATACAAAACACAGTATTAAATTTTATTAGTAACTTAAATGACTTAGGCACTATCGGCCTTTATGAAGTCAAGTCGGGCGGTGTCCGGGGTCACGAGGTTAGGCCTATTTATGATGTTTTCGTTTAATCAGTCTTTAATTAAAAATAGCTTATTTGACGTATATGAGCTGCAGCCAAACAATTGCAAACAAGTGAGCGGGTCTAAATATCAATGTTCGGGTGTATGGTTGGTTATATATAGATACGCTATATTGACTTGCCACTACCTTTAAATTTTTAATGTTTAACGTTTAAGGTATTATAAAATTATTGAAAATGTTGCCAAAATGAAAAAGTATGTGCTGCATACCCATACTAAAGATAGCAGAACCCAATGATTAAATTTGTATGGGTATAGATAGTTTAATAAATTAATTAATACTTTTTTCAAATCTTAACAACAACTTTACAAGGGGCGCTATCTAAAAATTGTCTAGAGGTGCCATACATGCTAAGACTGGAGCTGGATTTGGGACCATCAAAAACAACATTAAACAAAAAATGGTAAAGTAATTACCCTTCCAACACCTTTTCTTCTCTTGCTTCTTTTGCTATAAGTTTCTTCGTAATCCAGATCAGAATCAGGATCTGGTTCATCATATGCATCCATTTCTAGCATGTCTTGTTCATCATAATACCAGTCCTGTAATTATAGAAATTAAATTATTTGATATTTATTGCTAGTAGAGTATAAAAAAGCTGTACTACACAGATAAAGACGAACATTGTGGAACTTCTCCAAATGTTCTTTTACTTTTTAGTCAATATGCTTTACTAAGAGTAA